CATCGGTCTTTGCAGCCCCCACCCAGCTACAGAATGATGGTTTCTCCACACTGGGGCACGGGGAGGAGAAGGGGGGCCAGCTTCAGGCCCGGGGCCTCCATGTGTGGACAGCAGCCCTGCCCAGCCCTCCCTCGAGGCTCGCAGGTGCACAGCCCCTTTTGTGGCCCAGGTTGGGACAGGTACCATCCCTCAACAGCCAGTTCTGTGCTGCCTTGAGCCCCCAGCCCCCATGGACCCCACTGTGTCTGGGTGACAACAGTCCTCACTACCTCATCGAGCCCACCCATGTCACCAGTGGGGAAGCTAAAGCATGTAGGTTGGCCTGACTGCTTGGCCTTCAAAAAATGCTATTGAGGCTAGGTGTGGTGGCACACAGTTATAATTCCAGCATTTAGGAGGCTGAGGCAGGCGGATTGCCATGAATTTGAGGCCAGCCTGAGCTACACAGCATGACCCTGTCTCAAAAAACAAAAAAGGCTGTTGAATCCCATTGAGTTTCTTTTCTTTTTTCCTGTGACTGGGGATTGAACCCAGGGTCTTTGCACTAAGCTACATCCTCATCCACCCACCCCCTTTTGGTACCAAGAATCAAACTCAGGACTTTGTTTTGTTTTGTTTTGTTTTTGTCTTTTTCGTTTTTATCGGTACCAGGGATCGAACTCACAACTGCCTGCTTGCAAGGCAGGCGCTTATGCCGCTAAGCTAAATCCCCAGCCCCTAAACTCAGGACTTTGTGCTTGCCAGGCAGACCCATGTGCCACTGAGCTATATCCCTGGCCCCTCCAGCCCCCACCTTTTTTTTTTTACTTTTGTTTTCTTTTCTTATTTGTAGACAGGGTTCTTACCCCTTCCTCCGCCTCCCGGAGTATGGGTGTGCATCACCGTACCCGGTCAGAGGTTTGTTTTTTTAACTGAGAGACACACACATCATGCATTCATTGCTGCGCGATTAACAGAGCAGACCAGAGCAGCGCCATTCTTGGGGCTCCTGGGTCTCTCTTTCCTGTCCCAGCTGCCCGCGATGCTGAGCTGCTTGAGTCCTAAAGCAGCCTGCAGTCTTGGTCACAGGGACAGAGGCGTCACTTGCTGAGCCTCTCACCTGGGTGGCTGCTCTGTGCTAGGCCAGGATCAGACCACCCGACCCCATGACCTGGGACAGGCGAGGAAACCGGGCTGGTTTGGTTTTGCGCACAGGCAACACCCCGAAGGTGGCCCAGGCTACGGGGCACAAGGGTCCCCAGAGGCTGGGGCGGCCCCTGCCTGAGCGTGGCGTTTGTCCGTCCCCGCATCTTCCCACAGATGACTCCTCCACGAAGGTGGACCTGAAGGAGGCCTACGACGCGGAGGCCAGCACCTTGTGAGCACACCGCCCGCCTGCTCTCCGCGTCCCCTGCCCTAGCTGCCTTGTGCACGGCCGGGCGGTGTCGCCCTCCAGCCTCCTTGTGGCAGCTCAGCCTGCGCGCCCTGCCGTGTCCTCTGTGCCCTGTGCCCCACGCCAGGCTGTGGACACGCTCCCTTTGCCTGTGTGACCGTCACACCCTCGGGGCCCCAGGAGCGGGCGGTCCACTTCTCCCTGTCCTCCTCCCTGTGCTTCTCTGCTGGCCGGGATGGCACCTGGAGCGGGGTGGGGGGCCGGGAGCCGCCGGGCCCTCATGCCGCGTCCCTTTCTAGCTGTTTCCCCGACTGCGCAGACGCCGGTGGGCTTCCACCGCTGTCCTGCATGCAGGCGTCGCCCCACGGCAAGACGGTCAGCGAGAGCGAGCTGAGCACCAGCGCGGCGGAGCTGCTGCAGGACTACATGCTCACGGTGGGCGTCGCCCGGTCCAGCCCCGCCCCAGACCGTGCCCACCATGCCCTGGCCCCGCCCCGCCCCGCCCCGCTCCCGGGTCTTAGCTGTGCCCTCTCTGCCCTGCCGCCCTCCAGCTGCGCACCAAGCTGTCTTCGCAGGAGATCCAGCAGTTCGCAGCGCTACTGCACGAGTACCGCACCGGGGCCTCTATCCATGAGTTCTGCATCAGCCTGCGGCAGCTCTACGGGGACAGCCGCAAGTTCCTGCTGCTCGGTAAGGGCCCTTGGAGGGAGTGCAAGTGGGGGTAAGGGTGGGGGCGCCGGGCTCTCGCCAGGCGCTAAAGAAGAGCTAGGGGCTTTTCAGAGAGGTGACACTCAGAGTGGGTTTTGTTGAGTGTGCAGGAGTTTGCGGGGGGGGGAAGAGGCAGGGACACCATCTCAGATGGAGGGATCAGCTTTTGCCAAGACCTTTGAGGAGCTTGATACCTTAGGTCAGTGGCTGGCTGGCTGGAGAGTCACCCCACCAGCCGTACCAATGCTGCCCCTTAGGAGACATCGACCTCACTATGGTTTCCTTTCTGCCAGCACTCAGCAGTGGGTCAGCAGAAGCCACAGAAGGCCTGCTAGGTCCTGGTCCTGGGTCCCAGTGAACCATAGAGGGCAGGGTTATCCTCCCCACTGCCGTTTCTTTTTGAGGCCTTTGCACTGAGCTGTATCCTTGGTTGTTAAGGTAGCCAGGTGATCCTCCTGCCTCAGCCTCACAGAGTTCTGGAATTACAAACTTGTGCCACCTCGACTGGTTTATTTCATCCTTTATGGGCCTAGCAGGTGTTAGCTGCCCCCGAGGCCCCACTCCTGGCAGGACAAAGGGGAGGCAGCCAGGCTGCTCCTGGAGGCCTCTCTAGTGAGCCTTGCTCTCTGACAGGCGCTGTTTGTCACGGAGTGAGTAGCAGAAAGCTGAGCCATGGGCTTCTGGCCACTCCCACTGCCCTGGCTTCCCCCTTCACTCAGAGCCCTGGGGGGGCCGGGGCCTGGCCACTCCTCACTCTGGGTTTGTGCCCAGGATGGGGCACACCCGCCTGTCTACCTGCACTGGGATTCAGAAGCCCCAAGAGGCCCTGGGCCTCCAGATGGTGGTCACCCCAGGCCAGCCCGCCCGCCAGCGTTGGCTTGAGCCTGGCTGGGGATGGTAGCTCATGGCCGAGGCTGCAGTGGCTTCAGAGAGTTCCCCAGGCCTTGCCTTTGTCTCCCGGAGGATGAGGACTCCCAGGACTGATGGAACAGGGGTCACCTTTGGGGTCCTGGGGCACGAGCATGCACTGTCCAGGTCTCAGGTGGGTGCTGGGGGTGGTGGGTCCCTCCTGGGCCCCTGAGCTGTGTCCATGCCCGGCCCGTGTCATAGGTCTGCGGCCCTTCATACCCGAGAAGGATAGCCAGCACTTTGAGAACTTCCTGGAGACCATCGGCGTGAAGGACGGCCGTGGCATCATCACCGACAGCTTTGGCAGGCACCGGCGGGTGCAGAGCACCACCTCTGCCTCAACCGCCAACGGGAGCAGGGCCGCGGGCAGCCCCGATGACCACTCGGGGCCCTCCGAGGGGGACGAGTGGGACCGCATGATTTCGGACATCAGCAGTGACATAGAAGCTCTAGGCTGCAGCATGGACCAGGACTCAGCGTGACAAACAGTGGCTGAGCGTCACACTCTACCAGGCCACGCCAGGCCACCTGGGAGGAGGCCCTGGCCCCGCTGTGGGCCCTCAGTGCCCACACAGGCGGGCTCTCTACTGTGAAGGGGCGCAGACGCGACCTGGTGCAGAGCAGAGGCTTCATGCTCATCCCGGGCTCCACGGGGCCCTCAGAGGCCTCGAGTGGGGAGGCCAGGCCCAGCTGTGGCGGCAGGAAAGCCAGGCCTGTGGCCAGGCCAAAACAGCTGTCAGTTTTGCACATGATGTTCCTCATGTAACTCTCAGAGACCTTAAAGAAGTTTACTGCAATGTGAATAATTTAATCTTCTGGTGCCAGGCTTCTTTCTGGTCTGCCTGGATGAAAGCCTTGTTGCCTCGAGGGTCGTCCTGTCCACTCTGGCCTCTATCCCTGTGGCTATGGGGCTCTTGGGGATGCAGGGTTGGGGCCAGGACTGGAGGTGACAAGGCTGCCTGGTTCTGTCTTGTGTATGGATTCACACAGGAACATGGCTTACTGTGGCCTTTGCCTGGCCCTTGGGTACAGATGCCAGCTGTCTCGGCCCAGGTTTGGGGGCTTCAGGGAAGGCCCATGCCCTGTCCAGTCCCTATCTGTAGTCAGCCTTGCTGGCCTCCGTGTGGCCTGTGTGTCCCGGGCCCTTAACAATGTTTTGTAGGACACAGGGCTGGGACGTGTTCCTCCAGACTTAGCTCTGTGGAGAACCCTGGGTGTGTTCAGGCGGCTCCCAGCTGAGCCCACATGTGTGTCCCCTCCCGCCCACACTGGGGGGCCTGTGCCCACTGGGGAGAGGGACACCCCAGACACAGTGTCCCAGCCAAGCTAGCAGGCCCTGAGCGAGGTGGGTGGGTTGTGTGCTATCACAGCCCCACACAGGGCTCCAGGCCAGGTTTTTGTTCTTGTGAGGCAGGATCTGGATATGTAACCCAGGCTGGCCTTGAATTTGCAACACTTCTCCTGCCTCAGCCTCCTGAGAGCTGGACTTTGATGAGTGGACAGAGGCTTCCCTCTGTCATGGGCTGTCCTCCTCTAGTGTTGGAGCTGTCCTCCAGCCCTGGCTAGTGGGTCCTAGTACCACATGGGTGGAGCATGGCCTCGGTGCCATCTCTGAGGTCACAGCCACATGCCTGACGCCACAGCGCAGCCCAGACACAGCCAAGCTTGGCATCTACCAGCTGCCAGCAGGAAGACAGGCTTTGAGGTAGAGGGTGCTCACAGAGCATGGTAAGGGGACTCCGGGGAGTGACGAGGGGACACCATTTTGGGGAGATGAGCAGGTGTCAGAGGGATGTGAGGGGCTGGAGGGTACCAAGGGAACCCCCACAGTTGGGGGGACACCGAGCCTGATGGGAGGACAGCAGAATGACATGGTGACACCTCAGGTGGAGAGGGCGCCAGAATCACATAGGTATCTCTGCTGTACGGGGAACCACAGGGTGAGCTGGTGTCCCCAGGCTGATGACATCAGGGCATACTGGGGGGTCTTGAGAGTGACCGGACAGTGAGGTGACAATGCGTCGGGACACCATTTATTGGGTAGCAGCACTGGGGAGGGCAGGGTGGACATGGCTCGGGTGGCAGCTACATTGTCAGCTCCTGCAGGGAGAGTAAGGGTCCAGGGTCACACCAAAGGCCACCGCAGCCCAGCATGTCCCACAGCCAGCGGGGCCCACACTTCTCACCATGATGGCGTTGACGATGTCACTGTGGTTGTCCCTCAGCGCCCGCACAGCCTTAGCCCTGGACACGTTGGCCTGTGCCATCACCAGCTCGATGTCACGCAGCTCCAGCCCTGACTCGTCCACCTGCAGGGAGTGGGGACGTCACAGGGGCTCTGGGCACCCCCTTCCACTGGGCCCCAGGTTCCAGGCCTCACCTCTTCTTCCTCCTCCTCCTCCTCTTCACACTCCGGCCTCAGCTGGGGTCCAGGTGCTGACTCTGGGACCAGGGCCAGGGATTCTGAGGGCACCTTGAACTTCTCTGCCGCAGCTTTGTGCACTTGCTGGGACAGGTCCTCGATCTGCAGCACGGGGTGACCATGCATAACAGGGCTTGAGCACATACCTGTTCCCCTGCCACAGCCCCGTCCCCCTGCCATGGCCAGTGCCACAGCTGGACAGACCTTGGCCTCCCCAAAGACCACGTAGGTATCGGAGGCAGGGCTCTTGAAGACATCAGGCTTGGCGATGACGAAGAGGATGTTCTTGGACTTCTGGATGGTGATCCTTGTGACACCCTGGATCTGCCGCAGGCCCAGCTTGGACATGGCCTGAGACAGGGGACCCGGGTCAGGAGAGCGTCCCTATAACCTGGAGTGCCTGTGACTCGGGTCTCAGCTGTTTAGGGGATGGGGTGCAGGTTCCTGGATGGCCCGGAAGTCCCCTTCTGGCTGGGACTTCATCAGCACGGGTGAGGGTCTTCCTGTGGACATCCCTGCCCTGTGCTTCCTGCTATGGGGTCCCTGTGGGGCTCCCCTTACCTTCCGAGCTTTTTTCTCACTGCGGCTCTGCTTGGCTTTGGCGATGGTCTCCTCACTGCTGCCTGTCGGGGCCTGTGGGGAGGGGTCTCTGAGTTCCTGTGGGGCCACAGGGCCTCCCCGAGGCCACCCTCTGCCGGGGTACATCACCTGGGCTGGGCGCTGTGCATGAGGAGCTGGGACGTCCTGCTCATCCAGCTCGGCTGACGACTCCCCGTGGCTGTCTGAGTGCTGACCAGAGCCTGGGGCCCTCGGGGAGTCTGGGGAGGGACAGATGTGAGACCACTCCAGCGCCTGGTCCCCAGCCCGGAATGGCAGTGCCCCCCCCCCAAGAGAAATCCAGCAGCCCGAGCCACCCAGCCGCTCACCTTCTTCCAGGCTGTCCTCGTCTGCTTGCTGCTCGGAGGCTGGGGGCCCTTGAGGACGGCGTGAGCCCCGGGACCCCGAGGGAGGAGGCACTTGGCAGGGGGGTGAGGTCCGAGAGGCTGGCTCTTTGGCATCTGCGGGAGCCGCCTTGGGGCTGAGAAGGGGGGGCTGGGGCGCCAGGCCAACGTGCTGCCCAGCTCCCCGAGGCTGTGTGGTTCCTGAGGCAGCGGTGACCCGCTGGGCTCCCACTCGGGGTTGCGGGGGACCCCGAGAGGCTAGGGGCTCCACCCCCTCCATGGAGTCATCCCGGGGACCCCGATGTGGGCGAGAGGCACCAGGAGCAGAGGGGTTGGGGTCCAGGAGCCTGCTGCGGGGCTCACTGGGTGGGCCCCGGTTCGGGGTTCTGGGGTGTGATGGAGGGGATGGGCTAAGGAGACTTGGGGTGGCCAGGGGCCGCTGGCCACTGCCCGGCACAGGCTCCTGCTGTGGGGAGGATGGTGCCGATGGGCCAGGCTTTTTGGGGCTGGACATGGCCCTGGCTGGAGACCCTAGGCAGGAGCCCTGCTGGGCCTCAGCCACTAGAGCTGTGGGGAGCCTGGATGCTGGGGTGCCCTTTCCTCCCAGGGCCCTGCCTTCTCTGCTTGGGCTCTGGGGCTGCACCTGGCTGGCTTCAGGGTAGGTGGCACAAAGGGTTTTGGGAGCCCCCCTTGCACCTCGGGGAGCTGACCTAGGTCCCTGTCCCTGCGTTGGTGCCTTGGGACCCCTAGCCCTCTGGTTCTTAGGCCCATGGGCCTCCTCTGGAGGCAGGCAGGTCTCAGCCCCATCACCTGTGGGTACTTGGGCTTCCTTTTCTGCAGGAGGTAGGCCTGGAGCGCCTTCTTCTGCGGGACCAAGGGCAGCCGTAGGGCGGTTGGGAGCCTTTGTGTCCAGGTTGGGACCTGTCCCTTCCCTCTGAGGCCTAAGCTCTCCAGCCTCTGCCACTGGCTTGGGGCCATCCTGGGGAGCCTGGTTCAAGGCCACAGGCTCTGGGTCACTAAGGGGTGCTGCAGCCCACTCCTTGGGCACAGGCTTCTGTCCTGAGGCCACGCCTAATTCCTGTTGGGCCAGAGAGGCCACAGCCTTGCTCCCTGGGGTACAGCCTGCTTCAGCCTTGGGGGCCCTTGGTGTGGCCACAGCTATGGTCTCCAGGCTGGAGATGGAATCTTCATCTTGAAGAGGTGGAGACGGTTCTGGAGGGTCCTGGGGTAAGGAGATGCCCTGTTTGGCCTGTAGAGGGCCTTGAATGGCTACAGCCATGACCTCTGGGTCTGAGGTGGGAGATTCGTCTTCCAGGGGTAGAAGAGGAGCTTCATGAGAGTCCTGGGGTAACGGGACACCCCCTCCAGCCTCTTGGGAGGCCAGTGTAGCCACAGCCTCCAGGCCTGAGATGTGACCTTCATCTTGCAGAGGCGGAGGTGAAGAGTCTGGAGACTCCTGGGGTAACCGGACGCCCCCTTCAGCCTTCTGGGACCCCAGAGGGACTGCAGCCACACACTCTTGCTCTGGGATGGGATCTTCATCCAGCAGGAGTGGAAGCTCTGTCTCAGGAGAGTCCTGGAGTAACAGGACACCCCCTTCAGCCTGCAGGGACCCCAGCATGACCATAGCCATGGGCTCCTGTCTCGAGGCAAGATCTTCATCCAGTAGGGGCAGAAGCTCTGTCTCAGGAGAGTTCTGGGGTAACAGGACACCCCCTCCAGACTGCAGGGGCCCCAATACTGCAGCCATAGGCTTTGGGCCTGGAGTGGGATCTTCATCTTGCAGAGATGGAGGTGAGGACTCAGGAGAGTCCTGGGGTAACGGAACTCTAACTTTAGTCTGCAGGGGCCTCAGCGTGGCCGCCGCCACAACCTCTAAGTCTGAGATGGGATCTTTGTCCAGCAGGGGTGGAAGTGCAGACTCAGGAGGGTCCTGGGGTAACGGGACACCCCCTTCAGCTTGCAGGGGCCTCAGCGTGGCCGCCGCCACAGCCTCTAGGTCTGAGATGGAATCTTTGTCCAACAGGGGCAGAAGTGCAGATTCAGGAGAGTCCTGGGGTAACGGGGTGCCCCCTTCAGTCTGCAGGGACCCTGGTGTGACCGCAGCCATGAACTCTGGGCCTGGGATGGGATCTGCATCTTGCAGAGACAAAGGTGAAGAAGACTTGGGAGAGTCCTGGGGTAACAGGGTACCCCCTCCAGCCTGCAGGGGCCCCAGTGTGACTGCAGCCATGGACTTTGGGTCTGGGGTAGGATCTTCATCTTGCAGAGTTGGAGGTGAAGACTCAGGAGAGTCCTGGAGTAACAGGATGCCCCCTTCCGCCTCTTGGGACTCCAGTGTGGCTGCAGTCACACACTCTAGGCCTAAGGTTGGATCTTCGTCCAGCGGGGATGGAAATGCAGACTTGGGAGAGTCCTGGGGTAACGGGTTGCCTCCTTCAGCCTGCAGGGGCCTCAGCGTGGCTGCAGCCACAAGCTCTTGCTCTGGGATGAGATCTTCATTCAGCAGAGGTGGAAGCTGTGTCTCAGGAGAGTCCTGGGCTAACAGGACACCCCCTTCAGCCTTCTGGGACTCCAGCATGACCATAGCCATGGGTTCCTGTCCTGAGGTGGGATCTTCCTCTAGCAGGGGCAGAAACTCTGGCTCCGGAGGGTCCTGGGGTAACGGGACATCCCCTTCAGCCTTCTGGGACCCCAGCATGGCTGCAGCCACAAACTCTAGGTCTGAGATGGAATCTTCATCCAGCAGGGGTGGAAGTGCAGACTTGGGAGGCTCCTGGGGTAACGGGGTGCCCCCTTCAGTCTGCAGGGACCCTGGTGTGACCGCAGCCATGAACTCTGGGCCTGGGATGGGATCTGCATCTTGCAGAGACAAAGGTGAAGAAGACTTGGGAGAGTCCTGGGGTAACAGGGTACCCCCTCCAGCCTGCAGGGGCCCCAGTGTGACTGCAGCCATGGACTTTGGGTCTGGGGTAGGATCTTCATCTTGCAGAGTTGGAGGTGAAGACTCAGGAGAGTCCTGGAGTAACAGGATGCCCCCTTCCGCCTCTTGGGACTCCAGCGTGGCTGCAGTCACACACTCTATGCCCAAGGTTGGATCTTCATCCAGCGGGGATGGAAATGCAGACTTGGGAGAGTCCTGGGGTAACGGGTTGCCTCCTTCAGCCTGCAGGGGCCTCAGCGTGGCTGCAGCCACAAGCTCTTGCTCTGAGATGGGATCTTCATCCACCAGGGGCAGAAGTGCAGACTCGGAAGAGTCCTGGGGTAAAGGGAGGTTCCCTTCAGCCTTCTGAGACCCCAGCATGGCTGCAGCCACAAACTCTAGGTCTGAGATGGAATCTTCGTCTAGTAGGGATGGAAGTGCAGATTTGGGAGACTCCTGGGGTAATGGGTTGTCCCCTTCAGCCTGCAGGAGCCTCAGTGTGGCTACAGCCACAGACTCCAGGCCTCCAGGGAGACCTGGGGCTTCTTGGTGTCCCCTGGGCTCAGGAGACTCTGGGCACATGGTGCTGCCTATTGCTTCCTGCAGAGCTGGCTTTGCCTCTGTGCAATCAGGTGGCTGGCCTACGGCAGTGCCCTTCTTATCCTGGGTGGGGTGAGCTGGTGCCCAGGTGGCAGGTGCTCGTCCAGCCACAGAGTCAACCTGAGGGGTCAGCCCAGGGGTTGCTTGCCCAGTGTGAGGGGTTACAGCAGCTGCAGGCTCCTGGCTAGAAGCCAGGCCCTCTTCCATGACTCCTGTGATTGATTCTTGGCTCTGGCTGAGACAGGCTTCTCCCTCTGGGACCTGAGGGGTGCGGACTGTCCCCATGGCCTCTGCTGCCCAGAACACAGCCCTGTCTGCACACTCCTGCTCTGCCTTCTGGCCAGTGTCCAGCAACAGCACGCTGGGTTGGGCGTGGGGCTCCCCGCTGTACAGCCTGTCATCGTCAGCCCCTGCATAGGACGCTGAGTCCGAGTCCGAGGAGGCTGCTGAAGTGTCATCCCGGAAGGCAAAGGCTTCATCCATGCCCTCGGTGATGGACAGGTCAGACAGTGATTGCAGGAAGGAGGCCGAGGTGCTGTCCTCATCCTCTCCAGCTGCTTCCCCAGCTGGTGCTGGGGTGTCAGCTGCCACCTCTTCCTCCTCCTCCTCAGCGGGTAGTGGTGTCACCTCCACCGACTCCACTTGGAAGATGAGGCTACCCTGAAAGGGCAGAAGGGCTGCAGGGATCATTGGGTCATTGGCCAGGAAGTCCAGGTCAAAGAAGTGGCCCTCCTGGCCCCAGGAAGAGCCACTGTCCCCTGACAGGCTGGACTCAGAGGATGGGGTCTCAGCAGGGGGCGGCTCCCATTCCTCGGCCACAGACTCCGGCTGGGAGAGGCTCCAGCCTGAGGGAAAGTCCAGCCCTTCGGTGGGGGCCAGCAGGCTGAGGGAACAGGAGGGTGACAAAGTCCCACTGTCCCCATCCGCTGTAACATAGGAGCCCGAGGGCGAGGAAGCCAGTGAGTCCAGCAGCTCTGCCTCAGGGTCCCATGTGTCCCTGTGCAGCCCTGGGCTGAGGAGTAGGGTGCAGGTGGCCTTGGTGGGGGTGGAGGGAGGGGTGAAGTAGGGTTCAGGGTCTGGGGACCAGGAAGGCACAGGAGGGTCATCCTGAGAGCACAACTCCTGTTCCCTGAGTGCTGGCAGGACGGCCCTGGGTGACGGCGGTGCCTGGCATGTCTCCTCGCCCATCACAATCCGGGGCTCCAGCGTGGCAGGCAGAGCCTGGGGATGCAGGCCCTCAGGGAGGAGGTTGAGGCTGCCCTCTGCTGGGTCTGCCCAGGCTGAGGGGCCCCCGCCAGGCCCTGCATCCCAGCTGGCTCCCTCAGGCTGGGGCCGGGTACCCGGCTTGCTGGGCAGGAACGCAAGGGCCAGGGGGCTGGGCCCTGGGGTCAGGGCATGAGGGTCCCGCTGTTCCCCTCCCAGGATGGTGGCAGCAGGTACATCACAGGTGAGATCTGCAGAGACAAGAGAAAGACATGAGGTGCCCTGGTCCCATCTCTAGGCCAGGCCAGGCCACGCCAGTGAGCTGGACATGGGGCAGGGGACCAGTGTCCACTTTGAGGGGCCCAGAGAGAGCTGGCTGGAGAAGGCAGGAAAGAAGAGCACAGCAGGGGAAAATTTCGAAGAGTTTTGCAGAGCTGAGAACTGCTGACGGAGCTCTGGGGCTGGAAGGGCTGGGGGCGGGGAGGGCTGCTGTGTTGTAAACCCAGTGTTTTCTTGAGAACGCTTCAGCAAAGATGTGATGAGCACTCTTCCCTTTGGTGACAGCTGGCTGTTTCCTTCCTTGCCATTAGCATGGTGCAGTTGGCTTGGCAGGAGCAGGGGGCCCCCCAGAGTCTTGGGCCTGGGTGGCTCCCCCATGGTGGGGAGAGGAGGGAGAACATGAAGGCATTGTGTGTGGCCATGTCTCTGGATGGTGGAGGCAGATGTGTCCCGCACAGGCTGGGATGGCGATCAAAGTAGGCATGGATGGTGACCATGAAGAAGAACAGCAGTGTGGCCAGGTCCTCTCCATAGTGACAGCCACCCTATGGTGTGCACTAGGTCCCCTTCGGCGCTGGGAGCTTCTTCCTGTCCTGGGCTCTAAGTCTCCAGATGCCCAGTGAGGAGCCCACAGGTGCTCAGGTGGCACCCATGAGCTGATGAGCTGCTCCATGACAAAGCCAGGCGAGGCTCAGACAGGACTGGGGACAGGGGAGGGGCTTGGGCAAGCAAAGGAAGCCAGCTCTGGGCTCTCGCTGACCCGCATCTTATTACCCTGAGGTCACTCTGCACGCTTTTGAATCTTCGGTCTCACTGAGCATCATCTGCTAAGTGCTCTCTGCGCTGAGTGCTCACAGCTGCATTTTTAATGCTCCAGAACAGCCTTCCCTCACCTGGACGGGGGCCAGAGACTCATTTCTGGCCCTCCTCCTGCCCCCAGAGCAGCCTGCAAGGCCTCCAGCCTCCCCAGCTGGTGACAGCAGCTGGCTTCATCTTGGCTTTCTCTTTCCCATCACAAAGTAGGATCGCCAGGGAGGAGGGCCGCTGCAGAACCTCCTGGCCAGGTTGCCCAATCTGCCCCCAGCAGCCTCAGGGCACGGGCCCTTGGTCTCCAGCCAAGCTCCTCAACTGAGGCTGGGAGGAGGGTGGAGTCCTTGATCCCTTGGAGCAACATGACACTGAGAGTGGGTGTGGCCGGTGAACATCGCTCTGTGCCCTGAAGCCAGGCCCCTGGCACTGCAGTGACCCTCATGTGGCCCCAGGGTTGGGGCAGAACTGGGCCAAGGTTAAAAGAGAGGGAAATAGAAAGCCAAAGGTTCTGCCACTCCTGGGAGATGCCCAGGCCTGAAGAGGGCCAGCACACAGCTCTAGGTCTGGGGAGTCCCAGCCTGGGCTACCCACCTCCTGACTGACAGTGGCAGCAGCTGTGTCCCCTCTTGCCCAGGCCCCTGGCCCAGCACTGGTCCCCTCCCCAGGTGACTTCTAGCCCACAGCAAGGTGCCCTTGGCCCTGCCCCAGCCACACTGGCTGCCCTCCAGCAGGGACTGTCCAGGTGGGTGGTCCCAGCCAGCGGGCCTGTCCCTGCCTTAGGAGGATGCGGAGGGTTGCGCAGGGGGCACTGCTGCTCAGGCCCAGCTCTCTCCTCTCCGTCCTGGGCCCAGCATCCCGCGGTGACCAGGGACCTGGGCAGCTTGGCCTGGCCTTCAGAGCCCCGGGTCCCCTCACTAGTCTGCAGCGCAGATCAGGGCAGAGGTCGAGGACGCAGGTCTGTGTGTCGCCTCGGGTCGCCCCTCCTGCGCTCCCTGAAGCGCCAGGCGGAGCGGAGGGCAGAGCTCAGGGGAGGGGACAGTGGGGGGCCCAGCGATGGGGAGACGCGGCCTCACCTGTGTGCGGCTCGGTTCCGTCCGCCTCGGGCAGTGGCAGCTCGGCGCGGGCAGCTTCCCCGGGCATGGCCTGGGCGCCGTCCCGGTCCTCCGTCCCTTGTCCCTCCGCTCCGTCCGTCCGCGGCCGCCGCCCCTCGGCCAGAGGGGGGGGCGTGGTGACGTCACGGCCCCGCCCGCCGGCGGCCGAGTGAGCGTGCGCGGCCACTGCGGAGGAGCAAAGGAGCGTGGGGGTCCCGCCCTCCTGCGGCGCGCCCCGCCTTCCCGCACCCCCTTATTGAGGGAGGGTCTGTGGCCCTTCCAGGCGGGGCCCCTCCCAGGGTGCCATCACCCCTCGCCGGGAAGAGGAGGGGGCAACGCCGGAACCAGGGTGCGGGCGCGGGGCCCGGGAAGGTGGTGATGCATGGTTCGGGACAGGGTGGCTTGCCCACCCCTCGCCAGCCAGGCACAGGGCACCGAGGCCCGCCCAGCCTGATGCCTCCAAGCTGGAACCGCAGCTCCAGAGTGATTGGCTGGTCCTTGCCGTCGTCGCTCTCCATGGCAACCGCCTCCAGTCTCCTTGGCAACCAAGGATGGAGCCTGGGAGGGCGCAGCGGGGAAGGCGGCCTCAGATGAGTTCACGGGCTTAGCTGGGTCTTTGGGGCTCCCCGGAGCTCGTGGATCTGCCCCCACCCAATGCCTTCGCCCCCCGCCCCGCCCCAGTTCTCTAAGCTGGGTAAGGAAACGGGGAAGAAGCGCCTCCTTCCACCTCTGGCAGGCGCTCTGCCACTTGGACAGTGGAGCCGCCCCTAGGCCTTCCTGAACCGCGCTATTGCTTCCACACAGGCCGCTGCTCGGCCGGGGCCAGCCCCCTCCCTTCCTGGTGCCAGGCACCGGGGAGACGGATGAATGACACATTGTCATGTCTCTGAGTTGGGTTGGGGGATCAGAGTCATCACTGTGGCAGGCAGGGAGGGAGCCTCCAGTCCCTGCCTTCAGGTTCTGCCCTCTGGGAAGCCGGGGCCTCTCTGCCCTGCTCCTCCCTGGGTCCCCCGGGCTCCAGGCAGTAGACCCTGACCCTAAACCTACATCCAGGACCTGCCCCAAACTGGCCACTCCGCAAATAGCAGCGAATCACCCACCTTTCCACCCCCCACTGTGGGACCTGCGTCCTCCCTTCCCACTCTGCCTGAGGACCCCAGGCTCTCTCCTCCTGTGACCTTCGCTCCCTAGCTGAGCTCGGCTGCACCGCTGCCTGCAGGCTGTCTCCTGTCTGGTCATATGGCCCTTCTCAGAAGCCGAATACCCTTAGCGGGTCTGGACTACGAGGCGTGGGCTGGTCACTGCTCCTTCCAAGGACAACCATAGATGCCTGCGATGAGAGAAAACCAAAATACAATTCGAGGATGCAGGGAAGTGTGGAGCACAGCCGAGGGTGTGGGGTCCCCACCAGCAGGCAGGAGACTCAGGCCTTGTTGGCTGCCCCCCCCCCAGTGGGAGGAAGACCAGGAAGACCCTCTTGCTCCCCTACAGGGCAGAGGCTGTGACTCTGCCCCCAGCCTAGTGGAACCAGCCAGGGCCTCAAGGGGTGCATGCATGTCTCCCACCCCTCACCCCATCCTGAAGCTCAGGGAGTGTTGTATTAGCAAGGGAGGTTCCCCCAACCAAAGGAGCCAGCACTCATGAAGGAAGGAAAAACTGGTTTGGGTGAGTCCAGCCCTGGGTTGGAGCTGGGCCCTTTCTGCTTTCGAGGCCTCTGGCTCTGACCCTCTCTGCCAGTCCCGCACCCCCAGCTTCCCGGGACATCATCTGGAGTGGCAGAGCCAGGCTGGGGTCTTTCCCCCAGCACCTCATGTTCTGAGCAGCCTGGACACACTGCAGGGAGCAGACCCGGATGGTGCGGGGTTGAGAGGACCCAGGTGGGTCCCTGCAACCCAGGAAGGGGCCAGGTGCCTGGCAGGTGGGACTGTGGGGCCAGAGGGGTAGGTGCAGGTGGAGGTGACACAACCTAGGCTAAGGTCTGAATGCTGGGGGACAGCAGTGTCTTGGGAATGACAGAGCACTGGAAGGAAGGGTCAGGGAGACGCAGGACCTGCCTGAATGGCACTTTTCAGGACTGTGATTCTTCCCAGAATAGCAGCCAAACCAAGAGGAAACAAGACCAGGCCTAATAGAGGTGGCTCTTTTTAGTCTTCGTTGCACTGGGGACAATTTCAGAAACTCTTATTAGCTGGGTGTGGTGGTGCACACCTGTAACCCCAGCCTTCTGGGAGGCTGAGATAGGTGGACCACAAGTTCCAGCCCGGCCTGGGTAACTTTGCAATTTAGATCCTGATTCAAAATGAAAACACGTGAAGGGAATGGGGCTCAGTGTGAAGGCCCTGGGTCAATCCCCAGTCTCACACACACCCCAAAACAAACTCCTTTTTTATTGAGGAAGTTCTCAAATATGCACAAAATTACGGGAAAGTGAGAAAAAAATCGAAAACCATTATGGATGGTTTGGAAGGCAGGCATCCCATTAGGGAGCTCTCTGGTGACTGCATATCTCCACCAAGTGGCCACTCCCAGCTTGGATTTGCAATTTTCTTTTTTATTTGCACCAGCGATCAAACGCAGGACTTCGAACTTGCCAGGCAGGCGCTTGTGCTACTCAGCTAAATCTCCAGCCCCTCCCAGATGCATTTACAACAGTGTAAAGGCACACCTCAAACTGATACTGAAAATATGTTGATATTGCCAACTAAAAAGTCGTTTTCATGCTTTAAAGGTATGGAAATTCAGTTTTGCAGGATGAGAAGTTCTGGAAGTGGGTTGCACAGCTATGGGAACGCGGCACTGCTGAGCTGTCCTGGTTGGCTGGGCAGGATGGTTGCTGGGAGTGGGGATGCACACCTGTAATCCCAGCACATGCGAGGCTGAGTCAAGAGGACCACTGTGAGTTCAAGGCCAGCCTAGGCTACAAAGTGAGCCCAATGCCAGCATGAACTGCATAACTAAAGCCTGTCTCAAAAAAGACAAAAAAACAATTAAAATTTCTACATCAAGAAATATGAGAGTCTGGTATGATAGCATACATCTTGCAGTCCCAGCACATTGGCAGGCTGAGGCAAAAAGATTCCAAATTATAGCTCAGCCTAGGCAATTCAGTGGCTGAGCCAGAGTGATCTCAAAAAAAAAAAAAAAAAAAAGAAGAAGAAAAGAAGCGCAGGGGTGCTAGGGATATAGCTGAATGGAAGGTTCTGGGCTTCTTCTCCAGTACCACACACACACACAAAAGGTCATCTACAACCATCAAAGAAATCCAACTGGTAATTCAAAGCTCCCGGCTGGATGCCTCAGGGCATACCTGCAATCTCAGCACTCCTGCAGCTGAGGTCACAAATCCAAGGACAGCCTGGCCTACAGGACACATTCAAGGCCAGCCTGGACTGCATAGTGAGTCTCTGTCTCAAAAAACAAAAGTAAAATAAAAGACCTCAAAACAAATCCCCACCTGAGTGACCCCTTGGGCTCAACACCCAGTACTGCAAAAACAAACACCAAAATCAAAAAACAACAACCAATTTGAGGCTCGGACTATTTCACTAAAAGATTCTGCCAAGAATTTACAGCTGGGTGTGCTGTCACCACCTATAATCCCAGCACTCAGGAGACTGAGGCAGGAGGATCGCTGTGACTTGGAAGCCAGCTTGGGCTGCATCTGAGACCTTGTCTCAAAAAAACAAACTCAATTCTAGATTCTAAGAGATGTGAAAGCTGTCACCCTGGCAAAGGTTCCTTATCATGAACCTCATCAAGCTTATCCAAAAGATCTAACCTGCCCCTGCCAGGGCTGGAAAACTTCTATGAGCTTTGGACAGATGTGGGTGGTTTCATCTATCCTGGCTATGGAGATTTATCTGTGTCCTCCTGCTCAGTGCCATCCCCACTGTCCTGGAGGCCTTGTCCTCTTACTCCGGGCTCTGTGCTCAGCAGGGCGGTGCTGCTGCAGCCCGGTGGTCAGGTCCTGCAGGGTTGCGCTGTTCTCTACAGTCAGCGAGCTGCAGGAGAAACCTGCTGAGAAGCTGGGGCCGGAGGTGGTGGCCCGAGGAGAATTTGTCAGATGCAGAGCTACTGAAAATTTCGGGATTGTCAAGCCCCCTGCTTAAGGGAAGACAACTTCTGTGTGTGTGGTCCCTCTGGATAAGGTAGGACAAGGGAGGGCCACATGTGAGGCAAAAGCTGCTTAATGCAAAGCGGGTATACTTGCTGGCCGGCTGGCCAAGGGCATATACTCTGTTGGTTCCCTTCCTCTCCCTCACTCTGGCCTTGAATTCACTGTGTAGCTCAGGCTGGCCTCCAGCTGGTTGGGACCCTCCTGCCTCAGCTCCCCAAGTGCTGGGATGATAGGTGTGCACCACCATGCCCAGTTGCTGCTACTTGCTCCTACCCCGTGGGTAGGGGCAGACGTCACAGGTTACAAGCTGCTCTGCATTTTTGCTTAGAACCTTACCCAGCATCTTTCAAGGAGCCTTAGGCCACTCCATGCAGGATCCTTGAGGCAGTTTTGCAAGTTTCTAGGAATCTGGCCCTGAAATGGCGTGGGTTTCCTGCTTGTGACAGAGGCGAGTATTTCTGAGGAGAGTCCTGGTGCCAGCTGTGACAGAGCCGTTCTGGGGGTGCTTCCTGCAGCAAGTGGTGGAGAGGAGCACAGGAAGGCTTTTTTTTTTTTTTTTTTTTTTTGTCTTTTTCCTTTTTATCGGTACCAGGGATTGAACTCACGACTGCCTGCTTACAAGGCAGGTGCTTATGCCGCTGATCTAAATCCCCAGCCCTGAAGGCTTGGTTTTTAATGAAGGCATTGAAAGAGTTTTGGCCCAGACAGGACACTGTAGCTGGAAAAGCCTCAGGCGGAACCAAGGGGCTGTATCTTCTCCACCCCTAGGAATTTACCTCTGGTGCCAAAAGAAACCAATGGGCTACCTGTGCATCCCTAATGCCCCTCAGGCACCACCCCCAACCTAAGCTAGGTGTATGCCCCCACTCCACGTGTTCCACGGAGAGATTGCCGACCCTGGGGGGAGATGCCACACCCAGGGGATCAGGGGTGTCTCTCCACGCATTCTCAAAGTAAAGGTCATTTATATTTCATACTTCTTATATTTTCAGCTGCTGGCGGTCCCCACAGTTCTATCAGGCGTCAGTGTTTTATCCCACTGTTGGTCAGAGCCTGGATGGGTATTTAGGCTGCACAGGCTGCCAGGTGCTGTCTCTTTTGAGTTTTGATGTTTTAATGGACTGAAAGCACTTGAGATTATCTTCCTCTGCAACACTGGTGAAATTAACTTTTCAATAAAATGTTTATACATATGTTTTTTCAATATTTTTTTGGGGGGGTCTTTTTGAGATGGTGTCTCGCTATGCAATTTAGGCTGGCTTCCAACTCATGGTGATCCTCCTGCCTCAGCCTTCTGAGTGCTGGGATTACAGGCATGC